ATCTGTGAATAAGAGACTCTGTTTTCTCAAAATTTTTATCTCTTGCAACACCCAACATAGTGTTTTGCTATGCAGTAGGCATTTAATAAACATTTGTTTCATCATTTAAAAAGATTTACTTAAGTATGATTTTAATACATTTAGAGGCTAAACACGTTTCCTTTAAGATTCCCCTCTAGAAAGGAGAAGTGACTTAACAGGGGTCACACGAGCTATTTCTGGGGTGGGGAACCTGCAGCCTTGAGGCCACATGTGGCCCCCTAGGCCCTTAAGTGCAGCCCTTTGACTGAGTTCAAACTTCACAGAACAAATCCCCTTCATAAAAGGATTCGTTCTATAAAATCTGGATTCAGTCAAAAGGCCTCACCCAAGGACCTAGAAGGCCACAGTTTCCTCTGTTTTTCTGGTACTACCCTTAGCTAAGTACAGAGAGACAAGTCACTAGGATGCTGTCAGCCAGGTGATGAATTCTCTTGCCTCCTCATGGCCCTCAGTCCTGCAGGGCCCCCTTGTACTCCTTCAGTGACAGGAGCCAAGGCTTACACGGTTGTTAAACTGTGTGAGAATGTGGTTAGAAGTTGGCACACTGGATGTGAGACCCTTGTCCAGTAATTGGCAAGTGGGTGTGCTTGTGGAGGAACTGGGTCATGCCAGTGTTGGCATTCCCACTGCAAAGGAAACCAGAAGACAAAGATGGCGCTCTGGCCTTTTTGGATTTTATCCTGCACCCAAGGGCAACAAGAAACATCATTTCATGGGATGCCCGGTCATCTTGGTTCATGTATGTGATGAGCGTTTGCCATGACAGACAGTCGTGAAGAATGCTTGCAGGCTTGGGAAGGAAGAAGAGGTCTGGCAAGAGGCAGTGGAAGGAGCAGTGACCTGGGGAGGCCGGGTGGGAGGCCAGGTTCCAGCTCCGAGCTGTGATTCCTAATGTGGAATTGGCCTCAGGCAATGACCTAGCTTCCTTTGGCCTCAGTTTCCTCGTCTTGATGGGAAGGAGTTGGTGCTGACCTCACTGGCCTCTTTCAGTTCTAAGTCTATGATATATTTGTGTAGCTTATCACTCCACAGAAGCCACCTTTAGAGTATCTCTCCTGACCCCCAGTCTCCGACTGTCCCTTCTTGGAGGATGTCTTCCTGTGGATGTACCGTTGACAGCTTCACATGTGCAAACCGTTATCTTCCTTTCTAAACCTCTCCCTCCACCAGATTTCTCTAGTTCTGTTGAGAACCACCATCCTTCCAGTCATCCAGACTGGAAGCAATAGGATGTAAGTGCCTTTAAAAACGGGCTGTTTTGGCTGCATATCCCTAGGGTCTAGCACAGTGCCCTGCACACAGTAAGTGCTTCATAAAGTTTTAATTGAAGTAAATGCTCAATTTTTCTCTCTTGTACCAGTGTCCAATTAGTTGCCAAGTTTTAATGATTTTGTCTTCACAACATTCTTCTCATCTGTCATTTCTCCACTCACAGTGCCACCACCTCAGTATTTTAGGCCTGTATCTCCTCTCGCCTGAACTGTTTACAAAGCCTCCTATTTGTAGTCCTGGCGCCTAGGCTCTTCTGTCGCTAATCCTTCCTCCCCACAGCTGCTTTTTTTTTCTTAATCTGGGATTTCATCAGTGTGGGGAACTCCTACTTGAAAACTCCCTTCACTCCCCATGCCATTGGCAAGCTAGTCTTAGAGAGCTCAATGGAACGTTGGTGGGCTGAGTGACTTTCTAATACGTGTTAGCGTTGGAGGCTGAACCTAGACTTTCCTGAGTCCACGGCTGCTCCTCTAATGACTGTGCCATGCCGTGCCTCATTGCTGCCTTGGTGTTCCTAAAGGGTCTGACCATGTCCTCCCCTGCCCACCACTCTTCTCTTCCCTTTTGGGGTCTAGGATCAGCAAACTGCTTCAGCTGGCATTTGAAGCCCTTCACAATCTAGCTCTCGTCTCCCTTTTTCATCTTAATATTTCTTCATTTTGTGAAGTCTGCAGCCAAACTGAGCTATGCCCTTCTGTCCCTCCACCCTGCTGCCTCCCATCTTGTCACCCTGCCTCCAACCTCATACTCCATCTGTCCTGCCTCCAAGCTTTCTTGTAGCTCGCCCTTGTGCCTGGGGGCACTTCTGTGTTCCTCATCCTCCCTGTGGTCTTTCAGAATCCTTGGCTTCCTCAGAGCATAGCGTAGGTGCCACCTCTTTTCCAACTCTTATGTGATTTCGCCCAGTTATTCCTGCTTTCCTCGTCCTCAAATTGTCTCAGACTTACTTATCTGTGTTCCTGTAGTGCCTGCCCTCTGCCCCTACCCCGAATAACCCTTGAAGACGGTACTGTGTACCTCTCCTACACAGCACATTTCCTTGTTTGCTGGTATGTTCTTCCTCTTCTGTGTGTTGGTGGGGGCTAGCTTTGTGTCCCTTGTGTCCCACAGAAGGCAAATGAGATCTGGAGGAGGGGGATGACTCCCAGACCTGTCCCGGAAAGTCACTGGATTCTGGCAGGGTAAACACTGAGCGTTCATACTTAGGTGTAGTAAATTGGAATCACCTTAGGCTACAGAGTAATAATTGTGTGTGCACATGGTAAAAGAATGTATTGCTTTAAGCTAGAAGATATGGTTAAAAAAGGTAATTATTAAAAAGTGAAGTTTTCATTTCTCTTGCTATCATTATCTACATTCCTGTCTATAAGCCATGACATAACTGTCATTTAAGCTTGTCATACAGAACATTGTAGAGCCAATCTTCCCATTTGTTATTACACAAATTGCCCCCATGTGCATAGTTTTTACTAGTTAAGGTGAAGTCATTCAGGAACTTGGGAACAGAGAAAGTAAATCTTGGCATGCCTGTGGTTTAAAAGGGGTTAAAAGATTCCTTAAGGCTGAGTTACATCAGGATTCTCTCTGGGGGTTATGCCTGCACCCAGAGCACCAAAGAACAGCCTCCTCCCAATGAGACTGTCCCGAGAGGCCCACAGAGCCCAATAATGTGTAAGCTGAGCGGTGCTGCAAGGCTTTTCATCCCCCAAGGACTAAGCCTGTTTGTTTATGCTAAATTGGCACCGGCACTGATATTCACTATCAGTAAGCCCAGGATTTGGCCCCGAGTGTGAGAAGGACATTGTGGTCACTGACCTATTGTGTGACCATGGGAAAGTCACTTTTTTCTGGACTTGAATTTCCTCTGAAAATTGAGGGGTTTAGACTGGGTGAACTGTATGGTCTTAACAAGATTCTGTGGCTAACAGGAGACAGTGTCTCTTGAAGCAGCTGTTTGCTGAGTTATCTTGCATTTTGAGTTTTCAGAATGGGGGCCGTTGGTTACCCATTTTACCTGTGGGCAGTGAGGAATTAGTGGGAGTCTTTGTGATGCAGTTGAAAGAATATTGGATTTGGAGTCAAGAGTTGGGGGTGTGAGGACCAGCCTTTAACCTTGTGACCCTGGGCTAATCATTTAACCTCTCTGAGACTTTTTATTGATTCTTCCTATAGCTGTGAAGCATATTTTATTGACAAAACTGAGTTTAATTGGAAAAAATGACAAACTTTGGATTTTGAGTTCCTTTTGTATATGAACACCCAAGCATTTTGATTTATTTTTCTCCAGCTGAAATGTTTATTGTTCCCTTCTGTCAGTCCTGATTGTTGGTAACTAGGTAGAAACCACCATCTTCAAGATGAATTCTCTCTGACTGACTTTCCCTGTCTCTCAGTCACTAATTTGACTTCTTTGACCTAGACTTTCTCACCAGAAGCCTCTTTTTAGCCGTTGGAACGTGATAGCACTTTTTGTGGATGACAGCGTCTTTAGATCCTACCAAAGCATGGACTCTGGCGGCTGCCAGCGTTCAACACGATTGTGTTTGGTGACAGCAGTAGTGTGGCCCTGGGGAGTGGCCAAGGATAGACATCAGTCTCCAGAGGAGCTGCTGTGTTTCTGTAGGGTCCTATAGAGAATGCCTCCTACTTGCTGTGTGCTAATTATGCTAGAGCCCTCAAACAAAATGAAGCCGTTTTTCCCCTTCTGTCTTATGAATTTGAAGAACGCTTGTCCCGATTCCTTCTTTGAGTGGTAGTGATTCAAAATGCTACAGATCTTATTCTCTCCTCCCAGCTCTCTTTTGGGGAGTATTGCTGAGGCCATTCAGAAGTGCTGCCACCGGCAGTAGCATTTATGTGACTTCACTGTACTTGTTGCTGTGTGTGGCCGTGTGATGGTTGTTGTTTCTGGGTCATGTACGGGGAGGACCCTCATGGGGGAGAGGGATTTGGCTTGTTCCACTAAACCAGTCTCAAAGAGCTTTTAATTCATAGGGTCTGAGGTTTTGGCCATGGAATGGGCTTAGAGCTTATCTAGCCTGATACCCAAATAGGCTGTTCCCAAGTGGAATTGCTGCCTCAAAAGGAAGTGCCTTTCCCTTCACTGGAAGTCTTTGAGCAGGGATCATTTGTTCAGTGTATTGTAGAGAAAATTCTTGCTCAGGTTTCAGCCAGATGGCCCTGGAAGTTGTTTCTGACTCTCATATTCTCTGAGGGTCATGGGCCCTTCCCCTCTGTAACTCGTAGGCCAGTTAGGAAGCTAAGACATAGTCACATGAAATGATAACTGACACAGGAGGGCAATGCTGGCAAGCCTCCGTGACTGGGTTGTGTCCCAGCCTCTCTGAATTTTCATCTTCCTTTAAGACTCAGGTACTCAGGGACATTCTTTAAATTCAGCTGTCAGTTTACTCTCCTTCCTTAAGTTACCTTGTGTTTATTTTGGTGTGTATATTCCCTAAGCAAAGGATGTGAGCAAAAGATTTAAGATAGTAGGCCAGTCTGGAATTGAGGTTTTTTTGGATGGGAAATTAATTAGGTATTTGGGGGTAAGAGTATAGAGGTTCTTAAGTGTAAAAGAAAATGGTAGTTGGGAAATGAAATAAACCAAGAGTACTTAAATAGTCAAAAACTGAATTTTCTTTTTCTTTCTTATGACATTTCTTTGTCTTGTGTTTTATTTCTAGAAGGCCATCGAGCCCTATCAGGAAATCCTGGAAGTATATTTAATCAATGCCAAGAACTATGTCAATGGACACTGCACCAAATATGAACCGTGGCAGCTGATTGCGTGGAGTGTGCTGTGGACCTTGCTGATGGTGTGGCTCTACGGTTTTGTCTTCCAGTCTGAGAGTAAGTGTGCCTGTTGTCCTCGGGAGGAGGAAAGTCATTTCTGTTGTGTTCAGATCCGAGACTCAGAGGGATGGGCCTCCGATGGACACCAGCCCTTCTTGGTCACTGGGCTTTGTGGAATCTGGCTTCTGTGGAGAGTGGTAATGACACCTCTATGGCCTACCTCTTTTTATATTCATCTCCTTAACTTCTCAGAAATCAAAGTAAGGGGCATTGTAAACTTCTGCAGATTCAAGCCTGAGGAGTAACTTAGGCTGTTAAGAAAGCACCCCTAAATTGGATTAGCTATGCAAACTTAATTATTTTGGAATGGCTGTTCATGGCTGTTACTTTAGGCAGCTAAATGGCAAAGTGTATAGTGTGCTGGCCTCTGGAGTCAGGATCTCAAATCTGGCCTTAGACAGGTGACCCTGGACAAGTCTTTTAACCTCTGTCTTCCTTAGTTTCCTCAACAGTAGAATGGGGATAATAATAGCACCTAGATTCTGAGTTGTGAGGATCAAATGAGATAATATTTGTAAAGTGATTGGTAAACCTCTGCTGCCAGATCTTAAGTGCAGATCTGACTGGACCAATTTCCCTATTCACTCAGCTCCAGTGCCATAGGATATTGTATGAACAACTCTGTTTAGCTTACAGCTCAGTTCCGATGGATCTTTCCAGCTTTGTTAGACTGTATTCCCATTCCTTCAATCTGAGACCCATCCAAACTGGCCTTCACTCTGCTCCTGAGGCACAGCCCTATTCTGAACCACCCTGCTTCTGGCAAGGGCACCACCATCATCCCAGCCTCCCAGGCTCACAGCCTAGCTGTTATCCTCAACTCGTCACTCCTCATGTCCAACTTGTTGCCAAGGCCTGTTGATTTTACATTTCTTGTACATGTCTGATGCCCCCTTCTCTCTTCTGACAGTGCCACTGTTGAGGTTTAGGGGTGCTGGAACCCCAAAATCAGAGCACATGGGTCCTGCCCGTTCAACCCAAGCCTTCTTTCAGCCAAAGACAAGGCTTATTAAAGATCCGCCACGTTAGCCAGACTTTTAAGGAATTTGAGCACCTGTGAGCTATTGGCTACATGGTAAGAATCTGAGCAGTGGCTAGATTTTAAGAATCTGAGCACCTTAATGGAGGCAAGATGAACCTTATATACAGAAAGACTGTGGGAGAGATCTAGGAGTGGACAAGTAGTCTACGGGGACTATGAGGTAACAGAATGCCAGGGACCTGGACCAAGTGGCCAAGGGAGAATGGAGCCCTAGCTAGGATTAAGGGTGGGAAGTGGCCAGGGGCCATAGGAAGGTGAGACAATGGAGGGCTAGCAGAATTGGGGAACTGGACATAGCCACAATGAAAGGCCACTTGATGGGATTATAACCTAAGGCAGACAGCCAGATATTTGGCCATGTAGGAAAGTCCAGGGTTTTTCCTTTCTGGGGTGCAGATCCCAACCCCATCACCACTAGCCTAGTATAGACCCTCATCACCTCGTACCTGCTAGTTCGTCTTTCTGCTTCAAGTCTCTCCAGTCCCTCCTGCACTCAGCTGTCAAATTAATCTTCCTAATCTTAAGTGAAGATCTGACCATGTTACCCGGTTAAACTTGAGTGGCACCGTATCACCTCTGGGATCAGATATAAAATCTTTTGTTGGCATTCAGAACCCTTCACACTCCAGTCCCCTCCTGCTGTTCTCGTCTTCTTGTACCTTACCCTCCGAGTGGTCTGTGATCCAGTTATAGTGGCCTCTTTGCTGTTCCTTGAACAAGACATTCCACCGCTTGGCTCTGGGCATTCTCTGGTTGTTCCCAATGCCTGGAACTCTCTCTTTCCTCATCTCCACCTCTTGGCCTTCTTGACTCCCTTCAGGTCTTAGCTAAAAGCCCATTTTCTATGAGAAGCCTTTTGTGATCCCCTATTAATTTCTTTCCCTTTATTCATTGTCTCCAGTTTATCCCATCTGCAGCTTGTTTGTACATAGTTACTGGCATGCTGTCTCTCCCATTAGACCATGAGCTTCTTGAGAGTCTGTCTAGACTGTCTTTTGCCTTTATTTGTCGCACTCAGCACAGTGTCTGACACATGGCAGGTGCTTCCTAAATGCTTATGGTTTAGTTGATTGTAATCATTTGGCTATGATTTCACCTCTGTGCAGATATTGGGGCCTGGTATACAATGCCTTTTATTGGGTCCTGCTGCTTCCTCCTTGGAAAGATCTGAATGGACTCAGTTACTTAAGATAAGAAATCACTTCATCTAATGCTAATTTCTCTTTCCTGTCTCTCCTCCTTGATCTGCTTCTCAGTCTCCTTTGCCGGATCATCTTCTAGGTTCCATTCTCTTTACTGTGCATCAGTAACTATTGACCATAGTTTTGTCTCGGGCCTTCTTTTCTCTGTGTAGCCCTGCACTTGGCCTTCATGTTACCTCCTGTCACTTCAGTTATCTCTGTAGATGAATCACAGATCTACGTATCCAGTCCAAATGTTGCTCCTGACCTCAGGTCCCATGTTACTAACTTCCTGCTAGACATCTCTACCTACATGTCTCCTAAGCATCCCAAAATCAGTGTATCTGAAATGGATCTTAATAGTTTTCCCTCTTAAACCCATCCCTCCCAACTCTTCTCTGTTGAAGATACCAGACAGGTATGCAGCCTGAGTCATCTTCATTGCCTGACTTTCTCTTACCTCTGATGGGGATGGGATCGGAACCCCTAAAAGGAAAAGACCATGTCTTTGAGATCTGGACCCCAAAAAGGTAAAACTCTGGACTTTCCCACCTGGCCAGATCTCCAGAGTTTACCTGAGGCTATAATCTTATCAACTGGCCTTTCATTGTGGCTATGCCCAATCTCCCAATTCTGTTCTGTTACCTTCCAATTGCCCCTGGCCACTTCCCACCCTTAATCCTAGCTAGACTCTATTCTCCCTTGGCCACATGGTCCAGATCCCTGGTCTTCTGTTCACTCCAGCTTACTGGCCACTCCCATCCAGATCTTCCTTAGACCCCTCCTTCAGTCACCTCAAATTACTTGGTCATTCCTAGATCCTCCTCACAGTCTTCCTGTATATAAGGTCCATCTTGTCTCCATTAAGGTGCTCAGATTCTTAAAATCCAGCCAATAGCTCAGTAATGTTTAGATTCCTTAAGAGTCTGGCCAATATGGTAGCTCTTTGATAAACCTTGTCTTTGGCTGAAAGAAGGCTTAGGTCATATTCATTTAAGCAGGACTGTGTGTCATGATTTCAGGGTCCCAGCACCCCTAAACCTCTAAACCTCAACACCTCCACATCTAATCAATTGCCATAGCTTGTCAATTCTACTCCTGCAACCTCTTTCAAATCCATCCTTTTCTTCTCACACAGATATCCCCTCAATTCAGGCACTCATGACCTCTTGCCTGGATTTATTGCGATAGCCTACTAACTATTGTTAGTAACTCCTTTCTCTAGGCCCTCTGCCATATGCTCGTCAAAATAATCTTCCTGAAGCATGGGTCTGACCATGTTTTTTCCTTGCTCATACATCTTCCCTAGGATCGTTAGATAAAATGCAGACTTCTTAGCTTGACGTTTAAAGCCCTTCACAAATATCCTTCAGCCCACCCTTCCTTACTTATTTCCCATAACTCATGCACTCTTCAGTCATATGGGTCTCCTTACTTTGCCCAAAATCTGCATTCCATCTTCTGTAGTCCAGAGTTGCCTCTCTCCTCACTTCTGTTCTTTAAAGCCTTAGTTTCCTTCAGAGTTCAGCTGGGTTTAAATGTCTAAGGTCTTAGAGCACAGGAATGAGTTTCATGTTGACTTCCTCTCCCCAAAGCCTGGCCTCAGGGCCTTGTGATTAGTAGGTGCATAGCAGATAATCAAGTTCAGTGCTGAATAAGTGAGAAGAATCACTGGTGGAGAGAGAAGGAAAAGAAGACTTGTTTGTTTATTATGGAGTTTACTCTGTTTCATGTGCCTTGGAACCCTTGGGCATTGTCTTATTATGAAATCCGTGGACCCCTTCCCACAATAATGTTTTTAAATGCATGAAATCAAATACAGTACAACGAATTACAAAATAAACCAAGTACAGGGGAATGTAGTTGTCAGAATATTAACATGAGAGTTCATGGACCCCAGGTAGAAAATCCCTGTATTCTGTGGCTGCAATAACCTGCATTTGAGAATGTTGTGGATGATTTCAGTTTCTCTAGCCATGCTTTTGGGGCAGATGAAAGTGTCCCAGGTTAGCATGTCCATAAAAGAAATATATCAAGCATTCTTTCTATGTCACTGTGTTACATAAATTTACTACAGTAGGTCAATGGCTATTTGCAAAGTAGCCTTAACTCCTTCTCTTTGAGCCTGTAGGCTTTACCCTTAACTTTCAGTTTTTGGTCTTTTCCAATAGCAAGGTCTTTTGGTGCCCATCAGCTCAGATTTATCTTCCTGTAAATGTTCCAAAGAGGGTCTTCCACGTCGTGTGCCAACGATTGGCTTCTCATCTCAAGCCCTTGTTACACTGCAGCCTCGTTGTTTTGAATGACCGGCTGCGCCATGACCCTTTATTCAGATGGGTCAGATTCTTTTTCAGTGTTAATAGTCAAACTTGGAGAGCTCTGATTACCAGAAACCTCCTTATGACTTCTAGTAGGGAAGTTCTCCTGCTTAGGCCCTCCAGAATCAAGCAGAGCAAGTCTTCTTATCTCTTGTCCCTGCAAAAGCTCTTCAGATCACTGGAGATAACTCTCGCATGGCCACACTGAGCTTTCTCTTTCCCAAGCTAAACATCTCTAGTTTCGTCATTGAATTGTTATATGGCACAAACTCGCCATCTTGGTTCTCCAGCAGATCAATGTTCTTCCTAACCTGTGACATCCAGAATGACACAATTCTCTTAATGTGGTCTGACCTGGCAAGACAATCACATCCCTAGTGCTGAACACTAGTCCTTTCTCGGTGAGATTACATGGCTTTCTTCACTGCTGTATTCCACTTAAGACATTTAAGCTTG